ATGAAACTTATTTTGGATACTGAACTTATAAATTATAAGCTATGAAATTGTAAAATATTAACTGAAATTATAAATTATGGATATGAAACTTATTTAGGAAGCTGATTTCTATCGACGCGTTTTTATTGGTCATCATACAATATTTGTTTGTAATTTACTTTGATTTGAAGAACATTATTTTTTGTGTTTTAAATCAAGTACCGGTGAGTTTAGTGTTTGTTTTGAATTTTATAGATATTTATAAATTGGGAATCGATATATACATTTTGATATTTAAGATCTCTAACTATTTATAAGTACCATTGCTGTTTTCATATTTTTTGAATATTAAAATCCCACTTTAAAGCTCGTGAGCAAAAATAACATATTTTAATTTAATTAAGGAAGTTCCTATAATATGTTTACAATCGATGAGATGCTACATCCTCCCAGATAATTTAAGATGACTGACATTTTTCCGAATCAGGTTTTAAAAATTTAAATATGACATTCTCTTCATCTAATGGTGGTGGTTCAAATATTAAACAAATAAAATATATATTGATTTATATTCTAAATTACAGGAGTCTTCAGCTTAACTACATATTTTCAAAATGACTCAATAAATTTAAAGTAAACATTTTTATGTCTACTTAACGATGATTCAGGACAGAAAACTCTTGATATAATCATTACTTGAACATCTAGAAATAAACTATTTAAAAAATTACTCTCTGTAAGCTCGCTGAGGTATTTAGAAGGCTTTACTGTGCGGAATGTTGCGGCATGTATCAGATAACTATAATGAGAGTAACGGTTTCATGAAGGTTGAAAATATTTAAAATTGTTAATTATTAAAAATGATCTAACAGTTTATATTTATAGACAAGCAGAGGCGAGAATGGGAGGATTTCATTGGGAATGGCCTTGTAACTTGGCCTTTTGATGGGGTTAATGAAAGAATGCAAGTAGGCACGGATTGTCTGTCGTGCCGGAATCGAACCTCTTGTTTCTTCAAGACTTCATTTATGATCTTATATTAGTAGTTTAAATATTTATATATAATATGTTCTAGTCATAAGTCTAAATAACGCTAAAGCAACGAAGACTTAACGTCGGACATCGAAGAGTGTTAAAAAATCAGAAGTACGAAAATAATAGAAATTTAAATAAATCTGATATGGTTCTAAATATAAATAAATTAAAAAGTAGGTATAGTTATGTGAGGTTGTTAGTTGTCTTTTCAAATCTAATTTAGTTAATATTTACCGACATTTAAAAACCCTTTAGTTATTTTTTGTTTTTACTTTAACATCCTCTGTTTTTTTTCGTCTTGAAAAGTACTATGGAAACACCTTGATCAAGTAATCTAAGTTTTTGTTGATACTTATTAAAACAACTTTTATAAGAATAAGCCTAGCAAATGATAAATATATGAATTGGTTAATTCCAAACAATAGTTTATTTTTCGCTTGTAATCAAGTAAGTTAAATACTTTTACTTGATTGAAATTATACATTTTTTTTTTGTAATTGAAAGTAATATTTAATTATTAGTGTGAAATATCTGTAATTTCACGAGAAAAAATGCGTTTGGATTGGTTTAAAGCATCTTGTGTTGACCTGAGTTGCGGTACTGATTCTGGGGTGTTAAACACAGTCTTCTCAGCTAAGGAATGAATTGTCAATTCAGCTTAAAATATTATTTAAAATATTTTATGGTCGAACATAATAATAAACGAATCATGACTAAAAACTTAATTAAGACTAAACGAACTTCGAGACGTAGATTGGAACATAACTTGGAATAATCCTGGGGTTTCTACATTATATCATTTCATTCGCTCTTGGATCCGCATGCTAACCCTGGATGACCTTACCCTCTGGAGCGGACACACTAGAGAACCACCCACACCCCGAGCGGACTAGGAGCGGGAGGGGGGAGTAGTGGTGGGGGGGATCGATAGCCGCCGTGCCGCGGCAGTAGCGACATGGCAGCCACTCACGGCGGCATCCTCTACTACGTCGTCAAGGTCCCCAAGCAGGGGAGCGCGAGTCCGGTCGAGCAGCCTCCAGCTGCGGCACCGCTCCTGGCAGAGCATCGCGAAAGGTGTGTGTGTTTGTCATCGCCCTGTGTGTATGTGAGTGTGTCAGTGTCTCTTCCAGGTCCTGGAACCTGTCCTAGGCAGGTAAGTCCATCCATGTCTTCTCGGTCAGCTGTCAAAGTCCGGAGCTCCGATGTTCAAGGAAGGGCAGACCTGCGATAACAGCATTCCATTTTTTATACAAAAATATTGTTTTCATTACTTTTCAATCTTATGTTTAAAACCGACTGAATCCATGCTGTCAGTCTTAATATCCGAAAATGTTTTATTATGATGGAATCAAAAAAGGATTTAAAAAATATATTCCAACTCAACAAGTGCTGTCTATGCATGATTAGAACCCATCTTTTTTTTTTTTAATATTCTTCTCTTAAACGAATCTATGAGTGACCCACTAGTGTGCAAAGGGCGTGCCTCGAATAGTTTTCTTATTTCCTATATGAGTACAGCACTATAAGAGTTCTGTACTTAGGTATTGAACTATAAAATAGTACAGTGATAAAATATCTACCGGAATCAAACCCGCTACAAGTTTAAATGTAAACGTGAACAGTTGCCTGGTTGCGCTAGAACAACCCCTCCGTATAGGGTGGGGGTTGTGAATGAATTCTACGATACTCCAATTAAAGCACGCACTGCTACAAGTTTCCCATGTTCGTGCCACCGTAATATTGTCATCTTCTTCCAACATTAACTTAAAATCAATAAAAAACTTACTTCGAGAGAAAAAAGGGTCACAATTGACTATATGATTTCTTGAATCCATTGTTCTCGTTCAAAAACTATTTTTTTTTTCAAATATTCTTAAACATCCCACTACTGAGAATAGTTCGTTGCATAATATTGGAATTAGAAATAATTAATAAAATCTTACATTCGACAGATAAACTTTACTATTTCTCTGAAAATATATTTTTATATTATTTTTTATTAAATTATAATATTTGTCAAACTTATATTTTATGTTTCGAATATGTGTTCTTTTGAGAAAGTAGTTTTTCTAAACTAAAAAAAAAGTATAAATTAATTATTTTTATCTATTGTTAGGTTCGATTTGTATTATTTATATTGCGTGTTTATTAAAAAAAAAATTAAAAACTTCTCAGGCAATGCCCATGTATTCCAAGACCTTAACTTGTAACTCATGTATACTTGTGCGTGCATGAAACACTTAACTACCGGTTTTATAGTGTCCAGTATAAATGAATATTGATGGGACGATAGTTGAAGATGTGGGAGTGTAGAAATGGGTTTTATTGAATGGATCGGTAGTGAATGGACTGCGAAAACGTTGGTGTAGGTCCTATTGGCAATCTTGTTTGAATATTTATTCAATGATTTATGAATTGAGGGATACAAAATAAAATCATTTATATCGCAAATATTAAAAATTCTTATCAAACTACTTTACTATTAAAAAAAAACAATAGAAAAATGATAACTAAAGTTTAAAATGTTAAGTTGATAGCAATATCGTTTTATGTTTTAGTTTTAGCCCAAAAACCTGATACATAATAGATATCCTTTGGTCATCATTATCCAAAAATTATTCATATTATTCATCTTTTGACGAATTCTTACTATTTTGCGATTATAATTACTGAATATAAATTATTTAATTCAGGAAAATACAAAGCACTAAGAAAATATTTTCTAGAGTAGAAATACTGAAACAAAATGACATTTCATTTTATTTTGATTCGTTGCTATTTTACATTTTGTTTTAGTGTATGATCTTTTTAAAGTTTTCGTATAATAAATTCATAGCCCGAATCCTACACTCAAATTTCTTCTCGATATTAGATTGACTTCTAAAAACTACTAAATCTAGATTAAGCTAAATCTATTATGCTTCAATTTTAAAAAATAACAAACCTTATTTTCTCCACTATTGTTTAAGTATCAAAAGTCGTCTCATAACGTCTAACTTTTTTTTTCACTTTCAACTAAATGTGTTGAAGTTTCCTGGGCTATTTATCACAAAATAGAAAAATTAGAAAGTTTTGATGGATATTATAATAGGAAGAGAATTATGTATGTCGAAATTATAAATGTTTTTCACTGAAAACATTAGACAATTATTTTTATTTTGAATATCTTTAAAAGTATAGCAGATGAATTTATCATTATCTTCATTCAAAAATCATAATGCTTTCTTAATTATCTGTAATTTATTTTTATTGCAACAAAATTCATTTTTCTTTATTATTATTAAAGAATATGATGAATATTCATTCGTAGCTACGAAGATTAATTACTACAGATAGGATAGGTTTAAAAACATTATTCAATAATCAACAGTAATCAACAAAATCAACAAAACAGAACGGTTACTGTTAGCCCATCGGCCGTGTAATTACAAATTATTAATAATTTCCAATTTTCCATTGCATGGCTACCCTTTTATTATATTTCTATTATTGAATTGTAATTAAATCAATATTGGTCACGTTTGCAACATCATTCTTAACTCGTTATCATTATTTTAATTTTATTTTTTCATGTTTATTTTGCAATGTTGTTTAATTTTATGCAACTTTTGCTATATGCATTATTTTCTCAGCTGACGATTCGCTAGCAATGTTCGAGTGTTTAGTAAGTGCCAATAATAATACAATTGATAGCAAATTTATATTTTATTAATTATATTTTATTTAATTAATTGTGTTATCTAATTTAACATATTTAATCCATTATTGTGTGCCTTTTTTTAATTATTGTTGTTGTTTTTAATTAACTTTTAACTGCTTTTTAACTTATAATATGTTTGTTAATTAACAAGTTTTCATAACTGTTGCTGATTCATCTAACCTTATCTTTTATTCGCGAATTAAGATGCGGTTGTTTAAATCGCCAATGCATTCTAGATTATGATTTTAATTAGCTCTTCTATTTTGAGCATATCGTTGACGTCTTTTTATATTTGCCTTAACCCAGTTTCCGCCGAATCGATTTCACTTGTTATCACAACAATAGTTGATAATACTAGCTGATAGTCGAATTGCGATTGCCACGATGCTATTTTTGTGCACAACATCCGCAACATCTTCCAGTGGCGAACTGCGCACCTGTCACTTCCTCTGTGTGGCCTTCGTGCATTTCCCACCTGACCGATATCTTCTTCCGCCCGATAATTGGGGCACCTTTCGGGGTCCTGCGCAACAGGATCTGATATTGAAAGGTCTTAAAAGGATTATTACAGATACCATCTCATCCTTGGAACGTCCCAGGGTGAATCCTTCGTTGAGACCTTTGAATATTAACATCACTCCTATCCATGTTTTAACTACACCATATCGCTACTGTTAGTGTAAAAGGTCGTATGTAACTATTATACATGTTTGTTCTCTTGGCGCTAAAGGTGATATTTTGTAGTCTGTAACGGCTATATTTTTTTTTTTTTTTTTTTTTAAAGAAATACATTTTACCTCAATTTAGGGCTTGAATATTTAGGATGTATGAAACACAATCATACCATAATAAAAGAAAAACAAGATTATAACAAAGAAAACTTAGAATAACAGAATAAATCAAACATGAGACCGCATTAAATAAAAAAAAAATTAAAAACACAATCATACTTATACTAACTGCTATAAATAGTCTGCAAATTTTGTGGTGAAAAAAATGTACTTCTGGATCCGCCTCTTATTCTATCCACTACTTTTCTTTAACCATGCGCAGACGTATCTCTCTTTATTGATATCTCAATATTTCAAAACAAATTTTGTGATTTGGGTTGAAGTTGAAGGAAAATTAGAGAATATTGTACAGATTAATCCAGTCCATCAATTCAATCGAATTCCATGTATGTATATATATATATATATATATATATATATATATATATATATATATATATATAAAATTATGCATTTATTTTTATTTAGTCAAGAGAAATGATGAGGAAGCTGTACTGACCTACTTGGTAGTCTATTTTTTTTTAACACTATGCAAAAATCAACTGTAGGGAGTTTAATATTTTCACGATATTGAGTTCTAGGCAATTATTAGAATCAGTGGTGATGAAGTACGATCCTCGATTGTACTTATGTGATATATTTTGCTTACGTTGAAACTCTGAAATAAAAATAAAATATATTACACCGGAAAATCTATTACATATCATTATGATATTACATACGTAGATTCATTTTAGAGGTTCTTCTTCGTATCCATCAGATGAGGGTGAATAAATAAATAAAAAAAATCCTAATTATAATACAAAAAGTCTTCAAAGTAGCATTTTAAAAACTTGAAATAACAATTTTATGTTATTTTCGATGAAATTCTATTTTAATAAATATGTACTTACGAATATTTCTGAATCCTGAAGTTTTGTTGCTCGGTAACTTTGGTGAACTCAAGTTGAAAAGCTCTTTGGCAATGGCTGTTACACTCCATTTACCCCGCCCTGTCTTAAATAGTACCGAAGGTTGTTGAACTTATCTTCACATCTCCAAATTTGTTTGACGTTGACTTAGACTATCTTATATTTTTAAATAGTCACATAAGTATCCCTGTTACATTAGCAATATTGTTTTTAACTGGAACTTATAAAATTATTATATAAATTCAATAGATTTTTTTTTTATTTTTTATTCATTGATGATATTTACAACTGTATTACAAGTAAAAATATATTTAGTAAATGTGAACAAAAGAATATAAAAGCATGAAATCATTTGTTGAGAAACTACCCACTGGTAGCACTCTACAATAGATTAAATTTTGAAATTAAATATTCCTTCATACGTATAATAATAATTATGTTTATATTGTATATGGTCCTGTGTAATTTAAACGTTTAACGATCAGGTATATGAATTTAACTTCAGTCTCTGTTACTATCTAGAATAAATCAAAGATTTTTCATTCTTTACTAAATTAATGTGATATGCTTGTGTTTTTAAAAGTATTAACAGCGATTTCATTAGGCAAATGCTTTGTTTCAAAATCTCACAATAATCTTGTTTAATTACGAGTTTGCCATTTTTTTTTTTTCATTTTACTCTCATTATTTAACTCAATCTTACAAAAAATTTATTTCGACCTTCTTCAAGCCAAAAATTAATTTCGATTAAAGTCTATATTATTTATTAGTGAAGAAATCTAGATAGATATTTCGATAACAAAAATAAATTACTGATTTCGAATCTTCGCATGTTTGTTTGTTTATTGTAGTACGTCGCATGGATAAATTAATCGACTAATACAGAGGAAATTATTGCTTAATTAGAATAAAACAAAAAAAGTAAGTAGTAAGAAAAGAAACCTTATTTCTAGAACCCATCAATGGTTCAGTGCTATTTCTTGCTAGGTGATTTGACCAGTATCACGAATTTTTTCTATAATTAATTTATTAAGAGTACCAACTTTATTGAGGCTGATTGTGTTCTACAAGGGTCTCCCAAACGTCAGTGTCGACTCACGGCCAGTGTAATAAAATGAACAATTACTTACCACAGCCATATTAAAAAACCTTGGACCGGGTGGATAGAAGCACGTTGTCTTACTCTCTGAGCTGTCTTCCTCAAATACTACAACGAATCTGAATCTCTTGGTTTGAATCTTCTTAAAAAAAAAAAAAAAATCTTCCCATTAATATTTCAGCCTGCTATGTAGACACATGCTATCACACAAATGGGAGTAGTGGGATAAAAAGTTGTAGAACTGTTCTCTGAGAAATTTGTATAATCGTTAATTATTTTCACGAAAGCTTAAATATTTAAGATGAATACATTAAGCGTAAATACAATAAGAACTGATTCTTATGATAGATATCTGTGTGAAAAACACTGGTTCATTTTCAGATGATGATATTTTTTTTTATGAAAATCTGTTTCTTTAAATATATTTTTTTTTAGAAATTAAAAACGCATTTTCTTAATTAATTTTACAATACATCCTTGGTCACATAAAAGTAAAAAAGGGCATCCCAAGTAAAGGTGAATCTCAATTTATTCGATGACAAACTTCAACTTAATTAATACGGACTTTAAGGATATTCAAAAAGGAAGTTTTTATAAAAGAGCTATTTCTATAGTCCGGTTGGAGGGTAACAACGTATCTTAGTCTCTCAAAATTCTAATTTCTACTTACATTTTATGTTAATTTTATCTAGTTTACTATAAATTCCTTTTTGACTATCCAAATTAAATATTTTTCTAGTTATCGCTTTCTATTTATCAGAAAATGTGACTTCATTAAGAAAACACAAAACTATAATTTTCTGTTTTTCTGTGGAAAATCGTACCATTGTTTATATAAACTTTTTTGTAGCTCTCAAGGTCTATTATCATGTCTTGAATACTTACATTTACTTACGGCACAGCTTGTACTTTTACGTGCTGGTTCTTTTGAGGCATATTTTAATTAATATAATAATTAAAATTATAAATATTTTTTTTCTTTTATGGTCTGTTTTGTACAAATGAAAATAAATAAAAGGGGGGACGTTTGGGAGACCCTTGTAGAACACAATCAGCCTCAATAAAGTTGGTACTCTTAATAAATTAATTATAGAAAAAAATTCGTGATATCGGTCAAGTCACCTAGCAAAATCTTTGAGCAAGAAATAGCACTGAACCCTTCATGGGTTCTAGAAATAAGGTTTCTTTTCTTACTACTTACTTTTTTTGTTTTATTCTAATTAAGCAATAATTTCCTCTGTATTAGTCGATTAATTTATCCATGCGACGTACTACAATAAACAAACAAACAAGTGAAGATTCGAAATCAGTAATTTATTTTTGTTATCGAAATATCCATCTAGATTTCTTCACTAATAAATAATATAGACTTTAATCGAAATTAATTTTTGGCCTGAAGAAGGCCGAAATAATTTTTTTTTAAGATTGAGTTAAATAATGAGAGTAACACGAAAAAAATAATTCTAATTTCTACTTATATTTTATGTGAATTTTATCTAGTTTACTATAAATTCCATTTTAACTATCCACATTAAATATTTTTCTAGTTATCGCTTTCTATTTATCAGAAAATGTGACTTCATTAAGAAAACACAAAACTATAATTTTCTGTTTTTCTGTGGAAAATCGTACCATTGTTTATATAAACTTTTTTGTAGCTCTCAAGGTCTATTATCATGTCTTGAATACTTACATTTACTTACGGCACAGCTTGTACTTTTACGTGCCGGTTCTTTTGAGGCATATTTTAATTAATATAATAATAAAAATTATAAATATTTTTTTTCTTTTATGGTCTGTTTTGTACAAATGAAAATAAAAATCATCATCATCGATGAAAAATCATCAAAAAACATAAAAAAGATAAACTCCTAAATTCGATTTTATCGCTTTTCAAATCCAATAGTTTGTATAAAACCTCCACATTTGATACACCCTAGAATAATAAAGAAAAGTAACAGAGAAGACACTTTGACACACCTGTCATCATCCTCCGTTGTTTACTTCCCGTCCTCGACCTCCTATCTCCCTTCAGGATCTGCCGAGTATATTGGAAACGTGCTCCAGTAAGGCCTTTACTGCGGTCTTGTATATGTGTGTGTCCTGTGCGAAGAAATGTAGTGCGGCACTGACAATAACAATAAACTGTCCTTCCTCCTCTTAAGAGCGAAAGGAGTGAAGTTACTGTAGTAGATGTGGGTTCTATCTTCCTAAAGGCGAAGGAAGGTAAAAATCGATTTATATTCACCCTCCCTTTTTTAGGGCAAGTGTAATGGCACTGACGTAAAGGCTAAATCTAGTCTTTTATCTTCTTGCCTTTCTTTGTCGACTCCGCAGCCCACGGTGCAACACTCAATTTATGCATTATTTTACAATAGAACTAATTCATATTTTATAATATAGCATGGAAAATGGAGAAGACCTTTCAGTATTCCTCAAGGCTTTATGAGAGTTGAAAGGAAATTCATCAGATTTAAAAATGTTTTAAATATATTTTAGAACGACGAATCTCACTTATACAGTTTTATAACCAGCTAATGTATTCATAATAGCGAAAAAATCAAAAGTTTATCGAATTTCTTCATCATTGAGGTTCATTATTATTGGCTTATCAAAGGGGCTTTTTCTGAAAATATTGATTTCTAGATATCGGCATCGTGCATCGATTTATTGTAACTTTTCGGATTTCTTCGATGTAAGAAAACCCTTACTCCATAACCGAACCCGGTTTTTATTAATTTTCATCAGTATTTACTGATGATTTTAAGATGCAAGTTCACTCACGACTTTACGGTACTTTCTAATATTTTAGAATAATTATTTTTCTAATAGAAACAACCTCTAGAATAGTTATCCAGGTAGATAATCAAATAAGGATGTTGAAAATATATTTTTTTCCGTTGTTTTCATATCTATAATAAAATTTAACTTACCAAATACATGTATAGTAACTTTATAAACAAACAATTAAATAAAATTGATTGCAAGGGAAGACGCCTTTTTTGTGAGCACATAAAAATGATATTATTTTTAAAAACATTACCTCAGAATTCAATCTCTTAGTAATAAATTTCTTTTTTCAGGAGAAAAAAGGACCAGAAAATTAATAATTTATTTTAATAAAAACATAGTTATTTTGTTTTGTTTTTTAATGATAATTAAGTTTTTAGGAGTACAACTTAACAATATGTTTAAAAACTGTTATTTCTCTTTACGGTATAAAAACACAACTGACTGAATATTTTCGTTGAAAAATATGTTTTATCGACCCAATCAACTCTTAGTACATGTCCTTTAGAATCTGGATCGATTTATTTAGAATTAGACTACGAAGAATAAACAATCCGCAGATAATTTTCCTCAGAATAATTATAGGTAAAATCTGAAACAGAAACTGCATCCAAAACAAAGCCATTAAGACGAAAATAGACGAAAGCAAACTTGGTTGTTTGGACAGGTGTGTGTTCCTATAGGTATATATATGTAGTATACACATAGGTAGGTATAGATCAATTTTTTGTTGTTTAAATCAAAAAGATGTTTAAAACAGTGAAAATCACCTGCTGCACTGATTTCTGCACGACGGAGCATTGCACGCTACTCCGGCTCACGAAACACCGTTTAGTTGTGAACTGGTTTAGTTTCAGTTTCATCGCTTGCTAAACTCTCATCGCCGTTTCCGAGAGCTGTTAGTTTTGAGATCGATCCGACTCCTGGCGATTTATATGGCTTCGACTCTTTTGAGCATCGATTGTAGAGAAATGTGTTAAAAATTGGGTACCTGATTCTTCTTGGAAGGATGATACAGTCGTTTGTATTCAATTTAAATTTTGTTTATTAAAAATACTTTATTGTGTGTCGATCAATAAATGTTTATCCACATAAAAAATAATGCTATTAAATTTATATTATTTTCAAGTTATGATTTCTTCTGGAATCAATTAGTTGTACTGACAAATTCTTTGAGGTTCCAGTAAAGATACTCAAGATATAACAAAACATAATGAGCGATAATAATGCAAATTGAAATTGATAAATAAATTTGTGATTAATTTTAATCCGTATACATTATTCGTCTTGACATGAGATATGTATACAACTCCCAGTAATTAACTATATTGACATTCGCTTCATTATTAAAATTAATTAGGCCGTTGGTTTGTACCTTCTATTTTTAGCTTGTAAATAAAATCTAAATGAAATAATATTTATTTAAATGAAAGATACCATACAATGACAATTATGGCTGACTTCGCTCGACAAGAAGTTTTGAACACGATTTTTAAAAATAAATCTCGAGAGTTTTAAAAACATTCCAACGATATGTTTTTTTCCAGAAACGTTGCGAAACGCAAACAACTCCGAGATTTACTTCTCAACGATAGTTTACATTTCGCTTCCTTTTCAAGAAACAGTGGATTATTTTTAAAAGTTGTTAAAAGTTATCATAGAAGAAAAATATTGTTTGTTTTCAGACTTCTCGGAAGATTTAAAAATAGGCCTAGATTCCCAGTTGCAGACATTGAAATAAGCCATAGCTTCTTAACGATATCGAAACCGCCCACAGTTGAGCGCTCAAGCCATTTATTGCGACTTTTTTAATCTTAAGTAGGATTACAAAATTTTAAATGAATCATTGAGCAATAATATTATATTTAAATATCTTTAAAAGATATTTCATATAAAGAGTTCATTGCGGTCCAAAGAGTTTTGAAGGGTTGGTCAATTGTTCGATTCTTTACTGTCGGTGCTAATCCATTAATCACAGTAAACTGAAATTAATACGAATCGAAGCTTTAATTCTGTATAATTTCACAATATTTGAGTCTTAATATTCATACAAATATATAAACTTTTAAAGTAATTTTAATATGTTTTTATTATTTCAGACGATTCAGAATTATGATATTTATATGTTTGTGAACCTTGATTAATTTCGTAATTCGCTAAACCGAGTACCATTGGAAAGAAAATTTTGTCCCTTTAGCAGAAGTGTATGCTTTTAGAGACTAAGAATTTTAGAGACTATAAGATACAAAAATCAAACTAGATTATAATTAATACGTACAAAAATTACAAATATGCACAATACCTCAACCGTGCGATCATGCTACCTTTGAGATCATCCTAACCAAACCTTTAGGCGTCTTGTAAAGTATTTTCTTTTGATCAAATGGAATCAAATCGGAATGATATTAATTGATTTGAGATTGGTAATTCAAAAAAGGAATTGAATTGAAAAGAATTTTATCAAATTCGAGACATCCTGATTCAAAAGTATTTTAGTCATGGCTTAGATTTTTTTTTATATGTCTGTTTCACCACAAGCTTCGTGATGCGTGATATTGTCCACACTTCTTAATCTTTACGGTGTACTCGTAATTATAACCTAATTTTAAAAATGTCTTCGGTTTTCTCTTTTCATAATGTTCAATATGTGAAATAATCTGCTCATCCAAATAAAGTTCCAGTTTAGAACAACGCATATAAGATGTAATAAAATTAGCCATTCTAGGAAACAATGCAACAAATACAGAAATAATGGAAATGAATAGTTTCCCGTCGTTTCCAGAAATGTATGCCTGCTGTCTGCTAATTATTTTTTTTATAAAAAAAAGTACCAAATTAGTGTATGTTTCCTGTTGTTACAAAAATTCGTTAATTAATACAAGTTTCAAAAGTTTATTAACCAAAACCAATAATAAAAAAACCATAGAATCTTGTCATGTAAGTTACCCTTATGCACAGATGGATCTACGGGGGGAGGAGGGGTTCGGGTTGAAGCTCCCCCAAAATGGTAAAAGTATTATTGTTAGTCTAATTAAACTTAATAGGTCTTAAAGAAGCACTTAAACACTATTTCATCTAGATTCTTAGCTTCTTTCGTTCTTCTGAGGTAGCTATCGTAATGTATACATACAAAAAAAAAATAACTCTTTTAATCACTAACATTTAGATTAGGCATCATGGCAAAAACTTCGTCGTTGAATAATCTGTAATCGTATACAAAAAAAATTAAGGCACTGCTATGAAGTAGTTTTGTAGGTACGTAAATCCAAATATTAGCAGATTGCTAACAAAATTCATTAAAAATTAAAAACGCCTAAATATTAAACATTATTATTAAGCTCCATAATCAAATCTCCATCTTCAATATTAAATCTCTCTGGGTTGACCAGGGTTAAGAAATATTACTTGCCAAAATATAACCGATTTCCTAAGAGAGAAGGTCTTTTGATCAGTGCGTGTTGCAAAGTCTCCAACTCTAAATGAAAGAAGGCTGTATTAGTAAACCAGAACGCGCCGATGTTGAGCGATTAATCCGTGAAATAGATGAGAAGATAACAAACAGAGCGGCGTTTATGATGGAATGGATGTTTGGCCTACGTGATCTGTCAGCGCCGCTGTGGCCTTTTTAATGAATCTTCGAGTATATTCAGGCTATCCCCAACACAATTCTAAAATAACTCCTGACCCTATTTTATGAACAGTTTTAGTCGACATGGTCTGAGGGAGGCCATGCTTTGATATACCGAGCCTGTTAAAAAAAATAATTGGCAATCATTTATTATTTGAGTTGGACAATATCAATTTTAAAAACAATAGATTCGCTTCTTTGGGTAGAGAAGTTTTGTATTTGTGCGGAAGGTTAAAAATAATTTGTGCTCTGGATCAAAAATTTCTACTCCAAGATCATGTGACGGGCACATAATCTATTATCGTTAATTAGAATCTGTTAATGATAAATAAAAAATAATTGATGTCGTATAATATAAAATGTTTCCCGAATTAAATATTCCTGAGGCAATCAGTATTGTGAAGCACCCAAATTTAATCTACTGACCCTTTTGGACTTATAGCAAACATAATCAAGAGCAATGTCGGAGCCTATTAATCATTTTTACTGTAAACAGAGATGACATTACGGTGGCCTGTCTCAGATCCTTCGTTCAACAATATCTCTCCTTATTAACTCGATGCTTAAAAGTTAGCTTATAACAAAGTATAACTATTACTTTATAACAATTTTTGATGTGCTAAGTTTTTAGTAATAATATATTTATTTACTAAGATTCTACAATTATTTCTTCATTGTATTGCTACTGAAACTGAAATAAGCAAATTTTTGTTTATTGAAGTGTTGTTAATCTATTAGTAAATTTATATCTTCCTGTATATGGAGGATCATATTTTTTTTTTATTTTGATCCTCTTATATCGAACGATTTTTAATTTCTTAATTAAAAAAATAATAAATTAAAATAATGTTAACGTTCTTTGGTCTGCTACTTTTTTTTAATGATAATTTCTTATTCATTGAATTAAAAAAAAATACAAATACTCTGAATTTTTTTTTTAGTTATTATTATTTTATACTGTGCCTATTCACATCACTAAAAATATAGTACATCTATTAATTCAGATTTTCTTGAATGCTTATTTTTTATAACGTCTTGTTACTTATTAATTTTTGACATTTTTAATGAATTTAGATTTTCCTGTTTTTGACTAGAGCAGGATCATAATATTTTTTTAATTTTAATTTGATCCATCCCTTTCATTATATATCTCTCATATTGACCAATTTTAAGTTTCTGAAAACAAAAAAAATATGAACTTAAAAAAATGGTAGATTTTGAGTTCTTTAATCAGATTTTTTTTAATTACTTACTCATTATTTTTGTTTATAAAAAACTATGAAATCTTTTTTTTTATTTCTATTATTTTATACAGTCCTTATCCACTTCTCTAAAAATATGTTATATCTAATTATTCGGATTTACTTGATTGCTTATTTGTCAGAACGTCTTGTTTCTTACTACTGTTTATTTATAGACTTTTAATTTTTTTTTTTATTTATAGTATTTTTTTTTTACACAGGTCAACAAATAATTTTATTTCCGAAAATAATCTGACTGTATTGAGGTCTATAATCCGGAAGTATAGGTAAATATTATCATATCAATATGATCAATTATTAAGTGAATTTTTTTTTTATATAAAATTATCTGGATATTTCATAGCAAATATATAACTATAATATGAAAGTATTAATTATTGAATACTGGCATTCCTCATTTGCTTTCTTATAATGTTATTATTGACGTACAGATGTTAGGTACGCCATGATGAGATCTGCTTGAAAGGCCTCTTCTCTTGTTGTAACAGGTTATGAATCACGTTTTCACTATCTACTGATAATCAGCTGTTTATCTCGAAACTATTAAATGTAACTAAATGTGGAACGAGTACGTTACTTTCCAGTAGTAGTTATTTTGGCAATAATACCCTTGAGAGAGCGAGTCACTGTGTAAGAACTCTTTGAAATAGAAATTGATATTCACTCCAGAACGCTATACCATCTACTTGCCTCTTTTAGATTCCATTCGCCGCTTCTCTTCAAATTGCTTTATCGTGTCATTTTTCTATTATATTTTCTTTTAATCTCCTTTCGTCGTTTTAATTTTTTTTCTATTTATTTTGTAAACAACAATATTATCTATTCTAAGGGAAAGAAAATTTATTCTTGGTGCTTTAGTTCTCCTTAAGGTTTAGCTGATTTTTCTGTTTCTGTTCTTATATTTTGTAACT